TAATTACACTGGGCCCACCTGGGTGAACCAGGATCATCTCCCCATCTGAAAATCAGCTCACTTAGCAACCTCAGTTCTGCCTCCTATCTTAATTCCCCCCTGCCAAGTAGACTTGGGAATAGGAGTGGACATCATTGTGGGGGCCACGATTCTGCCTGCCACAGATCCTTTCACTATTTTGGGGGGGGGTCTTTGGTCTTCCTCTTATCCTTTTCCAGAAGGTCCCCTCATGTCAGGGAAATTGGGTCTGTTTGTAACGTGACTTGCAAATGTTTCTGTCCTGTTGACAGCATGTCTTTGCACCAATGTGTCTGTTATTTTCTTGCAGAATATTTTGATTTTTAACTAGTGAGATTGATCAGTCTGTCACTTTGTGACTTCTGACTTTGAAGCATGCTTAGGAAGGCCTTCCCCACTTCAGGCCTAGAAAGGAATTCATTCAGATTGTCCTCTACTATGTACAGCATCTTTGTTACATTTCAGTCTTTGGTCCATTGGGCAGTACCCTGGTAAGGTACGAGGAATAGGGCCAGGTTTTTCCAAACATTGCCTGATGTCTCATCACCTGGCTGAGCTTCTGGCTGCCCATGGGGTCACTTTAATGACCGAAGAGCCCCAGTAAGGCAAATTGGGGAATAAATCCCCTAACAGGGTTTATTTCCACCTCAAGATTGCAGGGTCATATGGCAGAGAGCAGATTTCAGACCCTCAGGGCAGTGGCCTGGTGGGCATCCTCCAAGGGGTAGATCTGGCCATGGGGGAGCAGCCAGACACACCTTCCCTGTTGGGGCACCCAGGTGGCACCCTGTTCTTCGTGGGCCCTGCAGGTGTGGCGATGGCAGAACCACGAAGGCCCAGGGGAGGAGCTCAGCTGTCCTATTAGGCATCATTAAAGCCTTATCTGGAGAAGCAGAGCCTCCCCTAAGATCAAATTAGCTGGAAGACTTTTTAGGAAGTTTAAAATTTTTTCTTAAGTAAGCTACACAATTACAGTTAAATCTTTTCTTCTCTCCTAACAACGCCATCTCACCCCACCCAAGTATTGGACCAAACACAGCTCCTGAATGAGGATTAATCTCCAGCAAAGATAATAACAAACTCTTCTTTTATTTATTTATTTATTTAAAGATGACCGGTAAGGGGATCTTAACACTTAGCTTGGTGTTGTCAGCACCACACTCAGCCAGTGAGCCAACCGGCCATCCCTATATAGGATCTGAACCTGTGGCCTTGGTGTTATCAGCACCACACTCTCCCAAGTGAGCCACAGGTTGGCCCAACAATTACAAACTCTTGCTTCTCTCATGGGAAAGAACTCTCAGGACTCCTCAGCCTCCATCACACTGCGGGGGTCAGGGGGTCCCAGACCTGGTGGGAGCAGTGCCTAGTGAGTCAAAGGGACCCTGTCCCCTGAAGCCCCCTCTGCAGCATGCCTGGCTCTCATATGAGCACTGCCACTGGCCTGTCCTGCTCTGAGTGCCCAGTGTCTACCTCTTGGCTTCCTCCTGCCAGCCCAGAGGTAGAGGGTGCCATCCCCAGGCCCTGTGGGAGGCAGGGCTCAGAGGGGCAACATCACTGCCCCGAGGCCACTGGCTGGTCACTGTAGAGGGTGGAGTGGGCAGTGTCTGGCCTGGAGCCTGTTCTCAGTGGGGTGGGGCCATCCTGAGGGTTCCTTCCAGCCCATCTGAGACCTCTGCTCACTGGCTGGATCTGTCCAAGCTCTGGGGCCACATAGGCACCCCCCAGCAGTGGCGTCTTTGTGAGAATTAGATAACAGTGCCCCTCCCTGGCTGTGTCCCAGCCATTTGCCAAGGCCCAGGACTTTGGAGTCTGGTCTGGACGTGGCCCTGCTGGGCCCAAGCCAGGCTCCCTCCCACAGTGGACAGCCCTCCCTGCATCTGCCTCCTTGGTCCGTGGGTTCCTCACCCTCACCTCCGGCCTCAGGCTAGGCCAGGAAGAGGAGGCCGTGGCATCCCACAGCATCCCCAGGTGGCTGGAGTGTCTCTGTGGACATAACAGCCCTAGCACCTATAGCCTGGCTTGTGGTATGAGGGGTAGCCACTGCGATCTCTGCTGCTGGGGTCACCTTTTACTTTGCAAAAGTGTCACCAGGAGGCTTCCTCCGCAGTGGAACTTACCTGGTAGAAGGTCGCCCTCAGGGTAGTGTGTGGAAGGAGCTGGCCTCTATGAAGACAGTGGGCACTGCCCAGGGCAGGGGCTTACAGGCTCCCTGCCCTGTGCCTCCGTCTGTGGCCTTCCCGGTCTCAGGGGTGGTTCCCCAATCTAGCTAACACTTATCTCTGCTGCTCTGGCCCCAGCCTGATCTCCAGGCCCCGTTGAGCCTCTGGCCTGGACTCTTGGTGGGGTCCCTGAGGTTTCCCCTTCCTGCTGCCCTTGGGTGAAAGAGAGCAGTGGGACCTCCTTCCCTGGGTCCCTGGGAAGCCCGACTCTGGCTCTGCCCTGGTGGTCCCCTATAGGGCCTATCCTTAAGATGTCCCCTGGCCACTGCCCTCCCAGGCCCAAGTCTCACCTCCGCCAGGAAGCCTTCCAGGATCGGTGGCGCCCAGGCTCTGAGCTTACCCAGAGGAAGCCTCTTCTGGCAGAAATGTCAGGTTCAGGGATTATGATGAGTATGGATGGGGCAGGGGCTATAGACTATGAGGCAGGGATGGAATACAGGGCCTTGAGTTGTAGCTGTGGTTACACAACAGGATCCGGGTTTGAAGAGGATCCAGGTCCTCTTCAAATGGCTCCAGGATGGGGAACATTATGGCAATCTTTGACCCCAATCCCTTTCACCCCCCGTCGCTACCTCTGCAATCTGTAGCCACATGGAAAGCCCACCCAGGGGCTAGTTCTCTCCCCCACCCTCAGATACAGTCCTTAGTTTTCTCAGAAACTAGGAGCATTTTATCTGCTTTTATTTCCAGAGCAGGTGAAAAATAGATGAAATGAAATTAACTAAGTGTTATAAAGGTAAGCTGAGGCATAATGACTTTAAAAAAAAAAAAAAAAGATGACTGGTAAGGGGATCTTAACCCTTGACTTGGTGTTGTCAGCACCACGCTCTCCCAAGTGAGCTAACCGGCCATCCCTATATAGGATCCGAACCCGTGGCCTTGGTGTTATCAGCACCGCACTCTCCCGAGTGAGCCGTGGGCCAGCCCCTCATAATAACATTTTTAAAGAGTTTATTTGAGCAAGCAGGGATTCAGGAATCCGGCAGCTCCAAAGTGGCAGTGGTTCAGGAGCTCCCCAGAGGGCGATCAGAAGAAAACAAAGACTATATCTGAGAGGTTACAGTTCTGCAGCCGCTGTGTTTGGTGTGCCTGGTTGGAAAGACCCTAGTTACAGAATCATAAGTTTGCTTCTGATTGGTTGGTTGGGCTTAAGTTCAGTTTTTCTTTAATATAAGCATTCACGAAAGATAGCTCAATTAAGTTTCAAACCCAGTAAGGGTGGGGTCACTTAGGAGGCCTAACTGGTTCTGTCCACTCAGGAATTCTTCAAGCCTGACCTCTGCTTTAATGTCCTTTAACATATAACAATGCAGAACGGAAGTGCAGGGCTCGCCCATGTCACATGTTTTCAGAGAAACCATTGCTTTTCTAATAAGTCAGCCCCGGAAAGGGATGGGAGGAGAGAGGAAGCAGACTATATAAAGCACCTCCCGGAACTAACCCGAGTTGGAGTCTAAGCAGAGCCCAGCTCCCAACCAGGTGAGGGTCGGGGGACCAGGGAGGAAGGGCTGTTCCACCAAGACGTGAGGGGTCCCACAGATAGGTCGTGATCAGACATGGGGCAGCAGGGTGAGTGTGGAAGAATTCAGGCATCTCTCGGGATGAAGGCTGAGGCTGGAGAGGCCTTTTCAGCCCAGGGGAGGCCTAGGTGGGGTAGGGGCCATTGTTGCAGGTAAGAATTAGACCTTCCTTCTAGAAAGGACAACAGGGGCGAAAGGCAAGGGCCAGGGTCAGCCACAGGATTTTGTGGCCGTGCAACATGAGACTTTGCAAGGGCTGGGGCTGAGGCGGGGACTGGAGAAGTGGGGCAGTGAGTGGTTAGGGGCTGGGCTGCCCCTTTCTCTGTGCCCAGCTCTCCCTGGGTGGCCCAGTCCCTCACCACACCGTCCCCTGCCCAAGGACAGGGCCCCCTTGTGCTTGTTCCACAGCAGGTTCTCAGGCCCCAGGGGTCCTGCCTCAGCTCTGTGGGAGCAGTTAGGTAGGGGTCAGGAGTCTGGGCAGCAGAGAAAGCAGGCTGAGGGACAAGGATGGGGGGTGCTGGAGGACATCCTCTGATGGACAGGGAGCAGAGGAGAGGGGTGAGGGACTAAGCCTGGGGTGGCTGAGGAGGATGTGCAAGGTGGCTGAGGAGGAGGGGGCAAGTTGCCACAAGAGCCTCTCCCAGGAGACAGGCTGTTTTCTGAGGTGGGTCAGGGGACAGGAAGCCAAAGAACTGAGGAGGCCCCAGGGACTGACCCCAGGGGATACGGTCATTGTCCCACTGCTGCGAGGATCCAACCAGGTCCAAAACTTGAAAGAGGTGTGACAGGAGGGGACCCTCGAGGACCACAGCCACCAGCAACATGAGGCCAAGAGTGTCTCCCTCCTCTCAGCTCCAAACTTGTGTGGCTGCCTCCCCTGTCAGAACCTTCTGGGCTGGGCAGAGACAAAGGATATGGGGGGGGGGGGTACATTGCAGTCTGCCTTGGAGGCTGGGAAGGTGGCCCTGGCAGAATTGGGGAGCCCAGGAAGCATGACCCCTAGCATGTGTCCTGAGGGGCATTCGAGCACTTTCTCCCAGGCCTGCAGAGCCAACCCTGGCCCAGCAGGACCCTCCCCACCCTTCCGGGAGTCCATGTACTCGCTTTTCTGGTCCCCGGCAACCCTGCCAGGTGTGATCCTCATGAGGTTGGAACCTGCCACGGTTTGGGGGATCCCAGGGGCTCCTGGGGGAAAGGATGTGTGTGGGATGGAAAATGACTTGAGCTTTCATCCCAGCAGGTGTGAGTTTGGTCATCCCAAAACGATGCCGGCAGGAAATCTCATTGCTCTCTCTGTGGTGAGTGTTCAAGATCCCACCTCCCATCAGCCAGGCCTGGCGACGTCCGGCCAGGGACAGGCTCAGGACCCTGGTCACTCTCCTATTGACTGGGGGGACCGAGGATGACTAAAGACCCCAGTGGGATGTGGGAGGGGTGGGGACTCAGCTGCTTCCCCTGGACTGAGGCCTAAGGATGCCTCAGACAGAGGAGTCCCCAGCCACAGGCCTGGAGTCCTCAGAGGAACTGAAGGACCCTCAACCTACAGCCTCCTGCCAGGGGTTGCAGGTTGCCTGGTTTCGTGTCAGAGGGACCCCATCTCCCAGAGCCTGGAACCTCTCTGCGGGGTGCCCGGCTTTCACTGTGAGGGTCCCCACTAGCCACTCCTGCTCTGAGTGCCCCACATGTCCTCCTGCCAGCCCAGGGGTGGAGTGTGTCATTCCCAGGCCTTGCAGGAGGCAGGGCTCAGAGGGGCTACCACACTGCCCTGAGGCCACCAGCTGGCCACTGCAGAGGGCTGAGGGGGCTGGGGGCTGGCTGGGAGCCTGCTCTTCCCACTGAGCTCAGTGCAGGGGGAGGGGGCATTTCCCAGGTCTTTGTGTTTTCCTCTGGTCCTTGCCCCAGTGTCTAGTGGAACCTTGAGCCCCACAGTCCCCTCTTGTCCCCATTCTGCTGTGCAGTGGGCATGAGGTCACGGAGGTCACCTGCCCCATTCTTCCCCCATCCAGACTCGAGAGTCTCTGCAGCTGCTCCTTTCAGGGCCCATTACCTGGCTTGTTGTGGGTGTGCTGGGTGTGGTGGCTATTGGCGTGATCACCTACTACGTGGTGAAAGAGGTCAGAAAGAGGCATCCTGTCCCCAGAATGGCACATAGGGAGGGCTTGGGCTGGGGGGTTCTGGGGGAGGGCGGTGGGCAGGAGTGAGGAGGAGGTCTGGAAGTGGTTGGGGGAGACTCGGGTCAAGTCTGGGAGAAAGTGCTGTGGCCTCTGCGTTGTCCTGAGGCCCAGCCCCTCCTCCCTAGCCTCCGGCTCTGCTGACCTCACCACTTGTTTTCCAGTTGAACAAGGGGACCTATAAAATCTACAAAACGGAGTGACAGGAATCCCCACCAGGCACCCAGTGGAGAGAAGGCTCCCACCCTCACCGGAATGTTTCAGGGCAGTATGCTACACGTGTTTTAAAATTTGAATGTGAGCAAAATAAATTTCTGGACAAAAAAATACAAATTAATTAAACACAATGATTTGAGCACCTACAGTGTTCCTGACTCTTCTCTAGAACCAGGCTCTGAATTCAAGCATTCTGGACCTTCCCCAGAGCTGCCTGGCCTGGGCCCTCTCCCACACCAGGTGGACTCTCTCCTGGGGCCTCCAATCCCTCAGGCCTCACAGCCCTGGGCCCCCTCAGCCTGGAAAACGAGCCACAGACCTGAACACTAGGTGGGGTCCCAGGGTTTCTCCTGCCCTTGGCCTAAAAGGGGTCAGTGGGACCTCCCCCTGGGCCCCTAGGGAGCCGGGGAAGCCCTGACACTCCCTACAGAGGCCTGCAGGACAGTTCTCTGGGTGGCCTTGGACCGACCCTGTTCCCATTTGTTTTATCTAACTGTCTATCTATCTATCTATAGATATATAGTTTGTGGTTTTTGGTGGCTGGCCTGTCTGGGAATCTGAAGGAATAACTAGAACGTGCTGAAACACAGCGTCCTGAATAGGGAGGGGCTGCAGGGACAGCCAGGCTCGTTCCTGTCTCCTCTGGAAGCACGATGTCCTTCAATGCTTTCCTGGAGTCTTGGGACTCCTGAGGTCTATAATTGGCGGCAGGCTGCCCTTTGGGTTCCCTCAGCTGTGGTGCAAGTGGGGCACAGACAGCTTTCCTGAGCCGTGGGAGACCCGCTCAGTGTGGATCAGGGGCTTCTGCTGTCCCTTGCTGCCCACCTGTAAATAGTGAAACCACTTCATGTAACTTGGTGTGAACGAGGCTGTTCTCTGTTGCTGAGCTCAGGTGTCAGTGACTGGATCCCCTGTTCCTGGTGGAGGTGGCTGGACTCCTGTTCCTGGTGGTCGGCACACTGAGGACCTCTGCTGTCCTCCATGCAATGGAGTCCCCCCTCGAGACTGGGTGTGAGTGATCCTGCTTCCCAGGGCCTGTCTCCAAGAGGCCTCAGGCCCAGCGGGATCCTCCCCAGTATCCCCAGGAAACCTCCCAGGACTGTGCTTGGGACGTTGCCGAGAACAGTGGCTCCAGGGTTCTGCTGAGGATGGCGTGGGTCAAGTTCTTGGTGGGCAGGGAAGGAGTAATCCTGACCGAAACTTGTGGCATCCCCTGAGCTCCTTGTGGGTGGACTGGAGGGCGATTCCAGGGAACCTCAACTGTTGTGAGGCTGCTGCACGGAAAAGGAACCAGAACACCCAATTGAGAATTTAAAAGGGGGGTTTTATTGGCCGGCTGGCAACTGTTCCACCACAGGAAGTCTTGGAAGGAAGCAGCCTTGAGTTTAAGTTTAAGGGGTCTTTAAAAGGCACATAGTCACACAGGCAAAAAATCATATAGTCACATACTTACAGTTATCATATAGTTACACACATACACGCTGGGGAGGCCTAGCACAAGCTGGTAACAGAAGCTGAAAGAAGCCAGTTAATCACTTAGGGACAGCAAAAATTTTCACAGGGTGGTTTTCTTCTTAGGTTGTCTAGATACATCCAGATATAGCTCTTGGTGTTGTCAGTCAGGGACAGCATAGGCGGGAAACAGCAAAGGCAGGCAGAACCTAAAATTTGTCTAAGTACAGGACAATTTTTAACCTTCAATTTTCACCACAGGTGTTGGGGGGCTTTCAAACAAGAACATTTTCAAACAGTAAAAATGGCATAAGCTACATCAATCTACCTCATCACACAACCCCTCCCCCAGCCCTCTGGGTGCCGCCCCTGCTGGAGGAGATGAGGAAGAAAACACAAAGTCACCCCCCCTTAAACAGGAAGTCAAGGGCCCTCAGAGTCCCTCGAAAGGCAAAAGCCTTGGGCTTCCCCAACATGGCCTCATTCTCTGAGAACTGTCACTGTATGTAAGGAAACATTGGTTTTTTGGAGGCGAGTGTTTTGGAAGCTGGCAAGTACAGGGATCCGAACTCTTGAACTTGGTGTTCTCAGCACCACACTCTAACCAAGTGAGCCACGGGCCGGCCCTCCTGTATCTTCTTTTTTTTAAAATTGATTCTACATTATCCTTTTTTGCAGTGTTTACATTATGACCTATCCCCAAAATATCCACATTTCAGGAGGACCCAGTGCATTCGGACCCAGGTGTGCAAGTCGCCCTCTGGTGGCTGGATTTTGTCCTGCAGGGTTTCTAAGAAGGGCTGGGGGGTAACCACAGTCCAGTATTACCCCCCCACCCCCCACACACCTCCCAGCACTACCTGCTGACTTCACACTTTAATGACACCACCCTGCCCTGAGCTCTGCGGCTGGCCCTCCACCTTCATGCGTGGAGTTGGCCTGGTGGGGTCTGAGGCCAGGCTGATCCCCCCTGGTGTGTGACTTGATTCCTCTGCTCTGGGGGAAGGTTGACCAGATGACACGTGACTCCCATCCAGACTTGGGAACTCAGCATCTCAAAGATGCTGGTGCAGTGTGTGTGTCCCAGAGCTGAGCCCCAAGTGACAGGGACAGGGTGGGGTTGGAGAGGGATTGTGAGCTGAGGAACAGACCCAGAGGTTCACATTGCAGTTTGCCTGGGCAGAGGGCAGGAGCCTGGGATAAGCTGGCCTCAGCTTACTTTTCTGTTGCTTTGAGTCAGAAGAGGTCGCCCTGAGGACCAGGAGACACAATAGGCCCTTGGCTTCTGGAATCTTGTGCTCTGCCAGTGTTCCTTGCTCTCTGACCCCATCCTGTCCATCCCTTTTGGACCTCCCTCCTCCCTCCCATTTCATATATGTGGGCAGACCACAGGGCTCCAACCCTGGCCCTTGCTCACTCCTCCTCCCTGGGGACCCATCAGCTCTATCACGGCCACAGCTCCACCTTCCAGCCCAGGTCATGTTTATACTCAAGCCCACCTGCCCCACTGCCCAGAAGTCTCCACTTTGGAGTCCCACATTCAGGCCTCAGGTGTGAGTTCACTTCCCTACACACCCCCACTCCCAACGTAGTGGTCCCCTTACCCGTGATGGTCAACATTGTCCCTTTATCCCCACCCAAGCCCAGCTTCACCCTGACTCCTTCTAACCCTTTCACCTCCCCTGACACAGTAGTTTGCCCTCCCCATGCACGTCCCCCAGCACGGACAGTCCCCCCTCACCTTCACTGGTGACCTTTTTTCCAGTCTTCATCACCCCCTCTGTTCACCACCCTTTGTCTGTGGATCTGCAAAGGCCACAGCAATTCTTAAGACGCTGCCCGGGCTTCAGGATAAAATCTGACCCCCTCCAGTGCTGGACACTCTAATCCAATGAGGCCTGCCTGGCCCGTGACCTCCAGCGCCAGATGTGCGCAGCCCTTCATGGTTCTGTTCTCTGCCCGGCTGCCCCCATCCCGCTGGGCGCCACATGGCTGACTTGTACTAATCCTTTAGATCCCAGCTTTGTCTCTCCCCTCCAGGAAGCACCTCAGGCTGAAGAGCTGCCCTTCCTCCCAGGTGTGGAAATGCTCAGAGACCACCCAAGTGAGAACAAGCAAGGCTATTGATTTGGAGCTTGCTATGGCAGGAGAGTCAGTCACCGTCTCTTGTGTTGGGCAGAGACTCAAGGTGGGCAGAAGCCTTCTCCTTGTGGAAGCCCAGGCTTGGGGAGGCTGGAGGCAGCTCCCTAGGAGGGGGCATCCTATGTGATTGGTTTGAGGAGCACGTTTGGCTTTCCCTGGTTGGTCCCGAGTTGGAAATGGGGGGAGATTTGCAGTCACTGACTGTTCTGGGCCAAACGCTGCAGAGGTTGTGGTCTGGCTTCCAGGGCTGGTTGTTCCATGGCTTGTGGGTGGGAATTCTCTTGTGGTCTGACCACTGTCTGTTTGTATATTTGCTCTCTCCCAGGCAAGGCTCCCCACTTGCTGCCACTCCTTCCCTCCCCATCCCCATCATAACAGTAGACACTAAACTCAGCGTCTTGATGTCTGGACCCTTTCCTGGTCCTCTGCTGTCTGCCCAGCGCCCAGGACAGGCCCAGGCACGCGGCAGGAGCTCACAGGAACCGGTGGGGTAAATGAGGGACCAGATTACCTTCAAGGAGAGAGGGCTGCCAAGTCACCTCCAGGCTCTGGCTCCAGCATCCTGGGCTGCATGGTTTTTAAACCGCTTGGCTCTCTGGCAGCAATCACCCGTAAGACTGCAAAAGAGAAGTGCACTGAAAGAATGGGGCAAAATACAAAAATTGCCTCAGATCAGGGCCGGCCCGTGGCTCACTCGGTAGAGTGCGGTGCTGATAACACCAAGGCTCCGGGTTCGGATCCCGCGTGGGGATGGCCGGTTCGCTCACTGCCTGAGCGTGGTGCTGACAACACCAAGTCAAGGGTTAAGATCCCCTTACCGGTCATCTTTTAAAAAAAAAAAAAAAAAAATTGCCTCAGATCAGGCCACGGGCTAGCTGAGGAAAGTGACGTGGGGAGACTCTGCAACCCAAAGGGGATGCAGGTCCCTGCAGGGAGGGAGATGGCGGGAGGAGAAGAAATGGCAGTGGAAGCTGGGTTGAGGGTGGGAGTGGGGAGCCGGGCCCAGGAAGGACAGGGCTGGGTGTATGTGTCAGTTGTTTTTTGACAATGCTACTGTCAGCTCTAAACCCGTTGGAGGCCTCACCCGCCACGGCAGTTTATGTGGCTTTTGCAGCCTGGAAAGAAAAGCACTTTCCAGAATTTTGCATGTGTAGATCTTAGCGGTTTAACAAACAGATGAAATCGTCATTTTGCCAGAAAAAGTAGATCCTGTAAACATTTCAAACAAGAGAAATTTACAAAGTGTAAAGTAAAAGCACAGGGCTAGCCGGTTATTCAGAGGGTAGAGCGTGGTGCTGATAACACTAAGGTCCAGGGTTTGATCACTGTACCAGTCAGCTGCCAAAAAGAGAGAGAGAGAGAGAGAGAGAAAATTAAAGTAAAAGCATGATCTTTGGGTCTCATCACCCCTAATTACAGTCCTTACTGCCAGTAAATTGTACCACAATCTTCCAGGTGTGCTTGATAAAGAGATAATTCAAAATGGGCGTATGAGTTTCCTGTGGCTGTCATACCAAATTATCACAAATTTGGTGGCTCTGAACAACAGAAATTTATTCTTTCTCATTTCTAGAGTTCAGAAATTCAAAATCAAGGTGTCAGAAGGGTCGTGGTCCTTTACAGCCTTTAGAGGGGAATCCTTCCTTGTCTCTTCCAGCTTCTGGAGTCTGCCGGCAATCCTTAGCTAGTAGCTGCGTCACTCCATCCTGCCTCTGTTGTCACATGGCCTTCTCCTCTGTGTCTGTATGTGTGTCTGTGTTCCCATCTCCTTTCCTTTCTCTTACAAAGATACCAGTCCTTGCAATTAGGGCCCACTCTGGATCGATGATAATCTCATCTTGAGATCCTTTCCTAATTATGTCTACAGAGAAGCTATTTCCAAATAAGGTCCCATTCATAGCCACTGGGGAATAGGACTTGAACATAGGGGGACACAATCATATATTTTCTTACACACGAGGCAGATCATACTATAGACATGTGTGTTTCAGTGATAAAAAATGAAAAACAGGACAGATATCTCTAACCACAAACTAGAATTTTTTGACTTTTAATTTTAAACTAATTATAGATTTACAGAAAAGTGGCCCCAAAAGTATAGAGATTTCTCTGATATCCTTCACCCAGCTTTCCCTAAAGTTACCATCTTCCATAACCATAGTACACATATCAAGCCCAGGAAATTAACATGGATATAATACAATTAACTAAACTCTGAAACTCCTGACCTTACTCGTTTCAGCATTTTTTCTACTAGTTTCCTTCTCTGGTCCAGGCTCTAGTCCAGGATCCCAAATGCATTCATTTGCCATGTGATGGAGTTTGGATGTGTTGTCCCTGCCAAAATTCATGTGGAAATCTGATCCCCAATGTGGCAGTGCTGGAAGCTGTTTGAGTCATGGGGGCGGATCCCTCATGAATTGATTGATGTTCTCCATGGGGGAAGAGGGGTAGTGAGTGAGTTCTCACTCTATTCCTGCTAGAGCTGGTTGCTTAAAAGACCCTGGCACCTCCCCTCTCTCTCTCTCTTGCTTCCTCTCACCATGTGATCTGTTTGCACCCACCCGCTCCCTGCCACTTTCCACCATGAGTAGAAGCAGCCTGAGGCCCACGCCAGATGCAGCTGTCCCAGAATCGTAAGCCAAATAAACCTCTTTTCTTTATAAATTACCCAGTCTCAGGTATTCTGTTATAGCAACACAAAACGGACTAAGACACCATGTCTCCTTGGTCTCCCCCAGTCCATGACAACAAACTAGAAAATTTTTACAGCCATTAGTAATTTAAAATGTACGTATAATCCAAATACTCATCAGTCCTACTTTATTTTAAAAATATGAACTAGAAAATTGAATGATGTGTGGCCTCATCTGCCAAGAGTTGGGCTGAAATTTCAATCTGTTAAAAAAAAAAAAGATTCAAGCTATATTTATTCCAGGATTGAAACTGAATACTTGGGGAATGAGAATGCCTTTGTGTGGATATGTGAGCCTGGATTTAAGGCACATTTATAATTTGAATCTGACCACACACTCACAAACTCACTAGAGTAAAAATTTCTTTGTCACCCATAGAAAGGCCATCACTTTTTCAATACTTAAAACATATGATTGAAAAATGTACTCACGGGCCGGCCCGTGGCTCACTCGGGAGAGTGCGGTGCTGGTAACACCAAGGCCCCGGGTTCGGATCCCATATATGGATGGCCGGTTCGCTCACTGGCTGAGCGTGGTGCTGACAACACCAAGTCAAGGGTTAAGATCCCCTTACCGGTCATCTTTTAAAAAAAAAAAAAAAAAAAAAAAAAAGAAAAATGTACTCACAATGGAGCCACAGAATGGGGTCAGTATAAATTCAAAATATATCAGTGACTTTTTTCAAGTACTTAACAACTAGCTTAACAATTGACAAGTAGCTTAAAAAATTAGTGATTTTAGTGTAAAAGAGGTTATAAAAATATACAGAAAACCTATGTCTAGCATCAAGAAACAAAAGATATTTTAGGGGCCGGCCCGTGGCTCACTCGGGAGAGTGTGGTGCTGACAACACCAAGGCCACGGGTTCGGATCCCATATAGGGATGGCCGGTTTGCTCACTGGGTGAGCGTGGTGCTGACAACACCAAGCCAAGGGTTAAGATCCCCTTACTGGTCATCTTTTAAAAAAAAAAAAAAAAGATATTTTAGTAACTTTTTGGGACTTAAAATGAATTACTTGGAAAAATGAAATTATGGGTGTCCAAATCTTTTTTGAGAGGGCGATTGTAATATATTTGCTACTTGGCCATTCATCTCTTCCTCTTTTTTTTTTTTTTTTTTTAAAGACGACCAGTAAGGGAATCTTAACCCTTGACTTGGTGTTGTCAGCACTACGCTCAGCCAGTGAGCCACAGGCCAGCCCCCTCTTCCTCTTTTTTAATTGAGATTTAATTCACACTCCATAAAACTCTCCATTTTAGAGTATACAATTGTGTAGCTTTTTATATATATATATATATATATATATA